ATTATATAACGTTTTATCTGTTATACCTGTAACCTACGCGATATGATTATAAATGCATTAAATATTCTAACGAATTCACATTTTTGAATAATTTTAGAACAACGCGCCCCGAATAATTGCTACATTAATATTAATTGCATTGAATTGCATAAACGCTATAAATGGGTCATCACCATTATGTTATCTCTAATATTACGGAAGCGTTACATCAGGGATCGGAGGCTTTAATTACGTGTCCGTTTATCGTGCGTTGAATCGGGCAATGTCAATCGACGATATCGACCGGACCCTGGGCTTTCTGCAGCAGAGCAAGTGGTGATATCAAAAATATGTCGCGTATCCAATTACGCGAATATGGCTTATTAGAGAACGATGAAAATTCGCGGAAATAATCAAGCCGCTGCACATCTGACAAATATTTGCAAGCTACGCGTCGTTATATTTTCTAGTGTGCAGCCGTCGCGATAGTATCGATATATCACTGACGGGTCGTATTGCCATTCGAAAATATATGCTGTTAAAAACATTCGTCGTGCAATGGCAGAATTAATAATACGTAGTCGATTGAAACAGCATTGAAATTAATACATTTCCCCCTTTGCATCTAAACATATTGCTCTTCGTACGAGCGCGCGAAATTGGATTGAATTCACATTAATAGAGACAAATTTTTTCGCGTATATATCGTGACCGCATCGATAAAATTTGCCATAAATATATTAAGCGCAAACGGTAATATAATATTACAAAATCAAAGAGATCTTAAGCATGTGATATCGTGAAATGCATATTTGACAAATCTCTCTCTTTCCCTCTACCATTTTCTTGAAGTTTTACATTGCTATTATTTCAATACAATGTTTTGTTTCAACATTTTTTTATTCAAAAGTTCCGCGTTCGAAAAAATATTGGAAGCATGCCTCTAGTCACGAAAAATAAATATTGTGAGATATGTTGATTTTGTAGAATGTGTTAAAAAAAAGCATACATTGGTGCGTTTGCTACATTTATATCTATGAAGTATCTGATTTTTATTAGTTGAAAAGTGTCAAGAATTGCTGATCCGATATTACACCGTTATCATTTACAAAAAGTTTAGCTATCGTTATATTAAAGCGATAACGATTTATTGGGGAGGATCCATATATGCAGCGATTTATCAAGTGCTGTTATTATAGGAAGATATTTCTACGAGATAGCAGGTTAATAATTTCCAATAACATAGGTAGAAGTAACGATTTATACATCAAAAAGCTTATAAATGAAAAAAAGACTTCACTACACAATAAATGAAAAAAACCCTTAAAAAAAATTTCACTTTACTCTGCCAATCAGCTTCTAAAAATTATTCAATATCATGAAATACCGTGTTAAATATTTTTCCATAGAATTTTTTTAGCGTATTTGTCAATTTTCGTTGCTTTCTATTTTAAATTACCAAGATTTAAAAATTATTTCGATTGTCTTCTCTTCTTCTATTCAGGATGATAAATCGAACGATAATGCAAGTTGGTCGTGGTCGACCTCTTGTTACACAACTCTCAGAAAGTTAAATCTCGTGTTTATAGCAGACCATCGCACTTCCGAAAACTCGAAGCCGAGAGGAAGTTCTAGTTGCCTCTGCTAGAAACTCGAGGAGATGCTGTTGAGCTTTTCGTCAAAAGGATGGAAACCTTCTTGTCTTTTCTATGGTTATTTGGGAGCCTTGAAAGAACACGTCATGAACAGCAAGCTCGGCGAGACATATAATCATCAAAACGTTATAAATACGGAGCAAGTATATAGAGAGAGCACTTTCGTCCTCAATTAAACACGGTTTTGCGAAACTTAGGAAGCATTGTCTTCATGTATGTATAACCCTGTCTTTCAGAATTCTGAAGCATTAAAACGAATAACGTTTCTATAACGTAAGCTATTTTATATTATACCATGCAAATAGTAAACGGATATTTCAAGAAAGATATTTTTAATAAACGGCAAATCTGTTTAAAATAAGTACTATGTCAGATCTATTATTTTATTAATATAAACATTTTATAAACATTTATGAAAGCTTTTTACATTTGCTTAATAAATTTAATTTAATAATTATAATTAATGTCAAGTTTAATTGAAGTTTCTTTGATTACATCCTATAAATCTTGGATTTAGCGTGAGATAAAAACGAAAGTTGTGACGGTCACACTTCTATCCTTCAGGGATGTCGGGATGTTCTCCTAATGATTTTTCGGACATTTAGCTATAGATAACGATTTATCTTGCGTCAAAGCACGGGTAGCCAGGAGCTCTTACGTGACTCAGGGAATCCCAACGATAACAAAGTAATTGCTACAAGAAGGAAAATCCTGACATTTCTCACACGTCGTTTAGGGAGAATTTCTTTTATTGCACTCGTCGACTATATCGGTAATCCGCTTTGTTAACGTCAACAGAAACGCAAACGTAATTCCCGACCGTGTCTCTACAAAAACACCGTGGCGAGGTGCCAACGGGAGAGAAAACAGTTAATTTCATTAATAAAACCGAGTCGCCACGTTTGCACACGTTTTTGCAACAATCAAAATGCTGGCTTATTCAATAACATCCGTAATTTGATTCTTCTACAAACGCGTATGCGTTATCGAATGAAATTACTATCTGCTATTAATTATTATGGAAGAAGATATTGAAACATTTAATTATGGCAGCGTGTAAGGTTTCATTGTTTTTTTAACTATAACATTTATTATAGCATGTTATTAATGTATCTATATAAATTAAAAACATACTTATAAGGCAGAGAGTTTTGTTTAATAAAGATTTCCAGCTTAATTTAATAATGGAAGTGTTTAATATATAAAATTAAATATTAAATATTAATTATTTAAATGTTCCAGTTATATTAAACATTAAATATTAATTATATTATGCAAATTAAGTATTTATACGAGTATAAATGTAACAAAATTTTGTTTTAGTTAATCTAGAGAAGACGCTGCTTAAATGTCTACCTTATTCAAAATTTAATTGCTAAATTATTTAATTATATATATATTTTTCCGTACAATTTAAAAAAAGTTAATCTCAAATTTGTCTAGAAAATCTATAATATAATACAATCTTTGAAGTACTGTAAATAAAATGTTCCATATCTCGTACGTTCATCAATAATTGCACCAAGTCGCATTGTTATGTTTTCAGATTAGAATTGTTTTCGCAACACTGTAATGCTGCAATTAATAAAACAAATAATCGTTTTAATAAATATAATAAAATTTAGTATATAATATTGTAATAAGTCAGACGGAGAAAAGCAATTTGCATCACTTACGAGCGAGAATGAACGGCGTGTTAACTATTTAATGGCGGAATAACGTTCTACGTATGACGTATTTTCCAGACCGAGTCATAACTCACGTGTAAGATTCGATCTGACGGTTAATTTCCGCGACGAGAAAGGTGATATGCGGTAGATCACGGGCATCTAGTCGGTTTTTCTAAAAGTTTAATTGGATCTACGGGGCAATCCAATCTGACCACATGCGCTCGCGCACGATTCCGATTTTTCCGGATTTTGCGTCGCCGCAGGAGCACAATCTCTCCTCTCCGTTTCACGTCTCTACGAAATTACGCGGAAATTTATCTCGCAAAAAGTTGTACTGTCGCACATCACTTCAGTGAGTAATTGCGTTAATTACAAAGCGATGCGTTCCGTTTTTTACCTCTGTATCCCACTGTCGAGATGTCCAGCGCTTAAAGAATACTTCTTTCGCAGCCTCTGAATTTCACACAGTCTTCCTGTAAATAGAAAAGATGTTTCAATAGGATTATAAAGATTCAAATTAATATAGAGATTATTTTATCGAGTCTTTTTATAAATTTCTTATAATTAGTGTATTTTATCACGAAAATTTATTCTCCATTCTTGCATATTATATACAAATTAAATGTGAAAGAACAAATACACAAAATACAATTTTTATATGAAAATAATTAAATTGTTATAAATATCGTTATATAATAAATTTTATTGACTTATAGAATGAAGTAAATTTTCAAAAAAATAAAAAGTTTTCTCTAATTTGTCTCTAATTGAAGTTCTAAAATCCTTAAAAAAAAGTTCCTCAAATAAAGAGAGATTCCACAACGGTGCAAGAAAAGAGCGCACGCCCGCGAGAAAATTCATTTCTTTTTCTTGATTCACGGTACAGTAATCTTTTTCATTCTGTTAATTTATGCCGCAACGTTGCTCGCGGCGGAAGAAGAACCATGGATTATTTGATTACTACGCGAAAGTATTTGAGTTAATTGAGAAGCTGCAAAAGTATTGCCTGATAACATAATATGATGTCATTGACGCTAAGAAATACTTCTTGTAACAATAGTTTTTCAGCTAATATTTCTCTCTCACTAACCCAAAGAGATCGACGATGAATAGCACGGAAATGATGCAAACGAACTGTGTGAATGTTATTACAGTAATTTGAAAACGGTATTTACTTCCTCTGTGAATGAAATTAGGCGCAATTCTATTTGATTCCTATCGTTCCGTACACAGCCAGCCGTAGTTTCAAAAGGCAATTGAAGTTTCCTCCCACCTTTCTCTTTTTCTTCCTTTTCTTTCGGCGGAATACATCGGAAACTCATTTCTGTCGATAACGGCCGAACCTCGAAATCGCACGGCCGTTTTCCGATGAAGATTTGTGATAACGCTGCCGTTCGATTAGGAAGCCTCTCGGCAAATCGTGCAAGATAAAATCGCGACGGCGTCCTTCCTTGCTAAAAGGAAGGTGGGATTGAATACTTAACGAATCCCGGAGATATTCTTAAGGATCCAAATGGAACTTTAAAGACCCTCGTAGAGGCGACAGAAGGACGGAAAAGGGTTTGTGGCAATCGATTCGCCAATTGCGGCCAGGGATCCCGGAGAATATAGCTTGTAAGAGAGTCCACGGATAGGACTGTCACAATCTCTTCGTGAGAGATATAATACTATAAAAGAGATTCCTTTCTCTTTTCAGCGACGAAGTCGGCCAAGGTCACCCCGGTGGAGGACACTCAACCCAAAGAGGATTCCACCACCATTGAATTTTTAAAACCGTAAGTTCTGATTCTATTCTTATTAGAAAAAGTTGTTATATTGTTATATATCTTATGTTATTATCATTTATAATAAAACATTACAATTGTCATGATTTATAATTATTAATATTACAATAAATAACATTATTTTATATGTATCATTTGATTCATTGCAACTGTATAAATATAAGATTTCTTCGTTTTTGTTTAATTTCAAGTTGATCAATTTATCGAGTACTTCACATCAGAAATGATATTACCATATTGTATGTATCTCATGATATTTCGAATATTATCATTACAATAATTAATTACCAATAATCTAAAATTACACTAATAATAATTGCTGTAAATCATCGAAGAAATGGAATATATCATGAGGATGTTGACCAGGTCAAACGCGGAATATGGGTTGCAATTAAACATTCATAAGACCGAAGTCATGATCATGAAAATAACTTTCTCCATTTACAAAATGTAGCAAGTTTTGAAGTGGTTGATAAGTTTGTATATCTTGGCTCTCTCCTAACAACGGAGGGAGTGAAATACGGCGAAGAATAAACATCGCAAGCTCGGCAACCACTAAGACTAACTTACCAAAATTTCGAAGGACGCGATAACTAAACATACGAAAATCAGATCGGTACAAGCACTCATGTTCCCCATATAGCCACCTACACATTGCATTGGAAACATGAACACTCAAAAAGCCAGACAGATCGCGTATCGAGACTTTTGAAATGTATCGACGTGTCCTCCGAATATCATGAATAGAACATTGGACGAGTAAGACGTTACTGAAAGAATTGAACGTCAATACCCGTTTGCTAAGAATGATCCACCGTTTATACCTTCAGTACCTTGGTCATATTTCTAGCAGAATAGGAACAATCGAAAAATTAATGATTGAAGGCAGGATAGAATACCAAGAGGCTAAGAGGTAGGTCGCCAACTCGTTGGACTGATTAATTGTGAGCTAAAGACCTTTTAAATACATAGTTACACGACACGATTAGTTCAGGACAGAGTAAACTGGAAAATCACCATTAATTCTCTATAAATCTCTACCATCAGCCCTTTCGAGAATAAATGGACAGAGGATGAAGATTATTTAAAATACAGTATTATTTTATTAAATAATATACGTATAGATAATATGTGTAAAATCGTTAATTTTAGTTTATTTAACTTCGCGTGCGCACGCGCGCGCGGTTTTCTCATTAAATATCATAATTTGAGTATCTCGTAACCGAATTTAATCATATTGCAGTAAAATATATCTTTATAATATTAACACAAACTGTTAAAATAATGTTAACTTAATTGTGAATACAATTTTGCGACACTGGAATAACGACACTAAAAAAATGCATGAAATAGTTTTTGTATGCTGTAACAATAAAACCTCAGTATTGCGCTTTTTCACATGAAAGTTTTTCCCCCAAAGGGTATCCTGCTAAACTGCACTCTATTTCCATTCAAAGTGATACTTTGAAAGCAATTAATCCCTGATGAAAGTAATTTGCAACGGTGCAATATTAATCTTACGTTAAAAACTTCGTCCGATAATTCGAAAAAAGAAAATATTTAAAAAATGTATGTAATGTGTAAAATGTCAAAATGCGTAAGAGACCAACGTTTAAATGTAGTAAATGTTAATAAAACATATGATAAAAGAACGCAAATTCTAGCTCTTAAAAATACAATATTTAGTTTTTATTTCTAAAATTTTGTATGGCTTATAAAAAGTATGTTTTTTTTTAATTCATTAAAAAAACATTCTTATTTAATTTTTAATTTACTTCAAGGTTACTCAAAATTATTTCTCTTTGCTTTCACAATTCATATATTGTCTTCCTTTTCGAGCTTTTTCACATTTGTAATATCAGATTATATATGATTATAATACCTCATTAATATAACTATTCCATGCCCTTCATTGTACCAATAACGATAATATTCTCTAATAAACGTCAATTGAATAGTTCCAATGTTCGCGCGATAAAACTTAATTCGTTATTTCGCCAATTGCAGTTTATTTGAAAACGTTTCAGCGGGTAAAAGCCCATTGCTGTTAATCCGCGCGCTACACTATCTCGTGCGAGTAAAGATTTATTCGCCGGAGACGCACGCGTGCAAATGGACGCACTGCGGCGGACATTATCCGAGCGGAAGATGACCCATGAAGTTCACTGTCAGTTTAAACGGGCCGCGACCCACCCTTACTTCTATCGTTTGCCCGACTCAGTTTGCTCGTGCACCCAGCCGAGCGATATTTAATACGACACGTCCATTAAGGACCGTGGATTGATTCCTCGTTGATCAGCTAAGTAACTTGCGCTTGTTCAAATAACGAGCGCGCTGTTCTACGGACGAACGTCGGATGTTGTATCGGATTCAATGACTAGTCGTTTTCTAATAAATTGTTTTTTGACATAAAACTATTTTTACGGTCGTAAAAGATACGCAAGATTTTTTATAGAAAAGTAGAAATACGTAACATGCGTGTGTGTTGTAAGCCAAGATTATTATTAATTTCGTTGTCACGATGCACTTTTGAAGTATATTGTAACTATTATGTAAGAATTCTCAATTATCTTTATATTCAATAACAAATCTGTTCATTATAGTAACTCAATGATAAATAATCTTTCTTTTCATATTATATAAAAGTAAGTTACTGAGATATAAGTAAAGAATATACTTTTTCCCGATCGAATAAAATATTACATATTTTTATGTAGTTTTATATTATCATAAAAATAACCATTATCATTCTCCGTTGTTAAAAAAGTATGCTTTACCATATACAACAGAATGTAGTTAATTATCTTTGATACCCCGTCTAATAATCTCAATGCTCAACAACCCAATAACGGATGTTTGACAATAATTTTGTTAATGGAGGAAAGATCGTTGTGACGAATGAGGGCCTGCGCTTAATAAAATTTATTGGGCTCGATGTTTCAGAAAGTCAGAAACGGTCAAGACAAGCAGCGGGGACGACTGCAGGGTATGCCGGAAGTCGTTCGGCCCCGAGGAAGTCTCGCGAACTTGTTGCGAGTGTCAACATAAGGTCTGCGAGGACTGCGCCTCGTATTCGACGACAACGAATTCCGACGATCCGGTGGGTCTGCACGCCTTCATTTTTAATTAACCGGCTTGTTCATTGTTTTTCGCTGGTAAATATTGCCGTAAAACGAGATTGGATGGCGTCTGGGATGGCGCAAATTAATTGCCGAAACCTACGAAAGGAAAACACACAAAAGAGTTTGAAGACAGAGAGAAACGAAGGCTTGCAAAAATCTAATTTAAAAATTTTAAAAAATAACGTCGCAATTAATCGTGACATTTTACCGCTGTTTCCCTTAAATATTTATATTTTTTTTTATTTATACGTTATACTTAATATAATTGGAACCGGTTGTTCCTTTGACATTTCATATTAATGATCGGTTGCGCAATTTTTATTTGATTTTCCTTTTTATTGCCAAAAGGTCAGTTAATTTTATTTTTTATTAATAAACAGTAAACTTTTACGTTAACATGTCATATTTTATATAACGAAATGGACATATCTATAAGCGATTTGTATCTTACGCAAAAGTAAAGCTACAATAATAGTTTTATTTAAATGCGTTGTGTATAATCATCATGTACGAGACAAGAAATGAAATATCACATATACAGGGTGTCCGAAAAATCGCCTACTCCACTTCGGGAGGTGATTCGGGACCCAAAAACAAGCAAAAAAGTTCATACAAACATAGGTCCGGAAATAAGCCGTTTCCGAGTTATAGCCACTTTTATGTTCAAATATCGTAAATTTTTATTTTCAATTTTTTTTTAATTACAATTACCAAATTCTCTCAAGTTTCTGTCTACACTGTTAAAGGTTAGAGGATGAAATTTAAACCAATACCATGAGTTAGATTTATTTTGTTATTTTTAACTATCATGTGCGTCAAAATTTATTAGTTTGAAACAAAATAGGATTATTTTAACTCCATTGGTTTAGTCAAATTAACATTGTTTTAGTTAAATTAACTACATATTGAGTAGGAGCAGTGGCGACCTATGGAATAGTTAAAAATTACTCAAAATTGAGTTTAATTTAACTCTATGAATTTAACAGTGTACATTTCAAAAAGACGCTATTCCCGGTACATCTCGATTTGGAAAAGACTGGATGTATAATCTTCTTGCCTCGGCAGCATTACTTTGAGCAAGACCATACATAAGATGCATATCAGCTAATTCATTAAAACTTAAACGATCCATTGATGAATACGGAAAGATTAGATACAACCTAAAAGTAAGGTGTTGTTAAATAATAATTTGAAACTTATTGAAAAGCCGTGATTTACTTACTGATTTTGAATAGGCGTGAAAACAACTGATTTCAAGTAGCCGTGAAAACAACTGATTTTGAATAGCCGTGAAAACAACTGATTTTGAACAGCCGTGAAAACAACTGATTTCAAGTAACCGTGAAAATAACTGATTTCTTTTAAAAATAATGTAATCGTAATTACAAATATTAAAAAATTGAAAAAAAATTAAAATTAAAAAAATTAAAAATATTTAAAAATAAAAATTTTTAATTTAAGAAATAATTAAAAAAGAGTGATACCAAGCGAATTCTAAATTACGATTTTTGAACATAAAAGTGGCTATAACTCGGAAACGGCTCATTTCCGGACCTATGTTTGTATGAACTTTTTTGCTTGTTTTTGGGTCCCGAATCACCTCCCGAAGTGGAGTAGGCGATTTTTCGGACACCCTGTATAGAAACAAGAAACAAGAAAAATATGTTCGATTTGTCCCATAAAGAAGCTTCCAAAAATATTCTAAAAATAAAGCTCCCATTGTTTGCATTCGAGGCGTAAATACAAAAGAGATAATTAACTGCCAATCGATAATGACAAGAAAAGCCAAGAAAATTCACGATGACAAGAATGTGAACGGAAGTCCCCTAATACCAAGACTATAACATATCACTTGTATAAATCACATCTAACTCTGTTGCTCTCTAATTTTCATTCGTAAACAGCGTAGCGCCTGTCGGAAATTATCGCAAAAAATTATTGAGGCTTCCATCCTTCGACTATTCGAAGTTTTTTTCCGAAATCGCTAAGACAATTATGCTTCTTCGCCCGAACCGTCGTTCCGTGTCGATAATTGAATCCACGAGGTAGGAGGCAAAAAGCAACCGGTATATCTTCGTGGCTCGAAACTTTCGTACTATATTATCATAAACGCGTGGATCTAACGGAAATTTATTCGCGACTCGCGCGAATTCGCTCCGCGTTTAATCGCGTTAAAGATTAATTGATTTAATGGCGATTTTGTTTGCCCTTCGCTCGCTGATACGCGTGATGTTGATTGGGCGTTAATTCTAATTACACGCGTAATTGATAAATTCAGTAAATGCGCGCAGCGATCGCACGAGATTTAATCTCGCGTTGGATTACAATGGATGGCATGCCCTTACACGACATTCCTGCGGGCAACCTAAATTCGGTAGAATATGCGTAATCATTCTGAGTCTATTCTCATCCCGTATTTCTATTCATTCTAACACACGGCATATCTCCGTGTGTTACCTAAAGGTAACCTAAATTCATTAAAATATACATTCTTCTACATTTAAAACGGAACATCGTGCAGAAAAATCACATGTACATACGTATGAATATGATAAAAATGTATGCATTTAGTAAATACAACTTGCATTTGTGCTCCATTCGCTATTTTTGACGTTTGTGCGGTAAAGTATGTATAAACGAAGAAAGAGAGAATACTTGGCTTTTATGATGCAAGCTCAAATTCCGTTTTTAACTTTGCATATTATAAATAAAATAAAAAACAGATAAAAAATAATACGATTATACAAATATTATATATTAAATAAATTTACACAGTAATTTTAAAGTAATAACATTTACAATAAAAGTTAATAATATTTGTAATGTTTGCTGCATTTGTGGTATTGTTTGTTAAAGTAAAAATAGATAATATTTTACGAGTGAGAAACTATATACCGGGTGTTTCATTTTAATCGCCCCAGGCAAATATCTCGAAAAATATGAAAGATACGGAAAAACGTTTCAGACAAAAGTTGTTTGGTTCGAAGGGGGACATAAGATGGTGTCATTGGTTTGACCTTGAGTAAACGTGCCGAGGTCATATGAAGTTCAACTTTGTTTTTTTAAATGGAACTCCCTATTTTTTATTGCATATTCTTGTAGCTTACCTAAAGATCTTTTCAAAACCTTATATTTGAGTATTTTTTCATGAAGTACTTTTCGAGTTACAAGGCTTGAAAGTTACAATCCCGCCGGCATTAGCATTACCCAAGGTGTACCGGCCAATAAAGACAAGACCCAACATTGATCCGGCCAGTGAAGGCAAGACCCAAGATTTGATTCGGCCAGTGAAGGCAAGACTCAAGATTTGATCCGGCCAGTGAAGGCAAGACCCAACATTGATCCGGCCAGTGAAGGCAAAACCCAACATTGATCCGGCCAGTGAAGGCAAGACTCACAAGTAGGGTCACATCGAAGTCACATTGTGTATTTTTGGTTTACAGCAAATGCTCAAATGTACTACCATTCTGTTGGATACATAATTGCAACCCAATAACTTTCAAGTTTCGTAACTCGAAAAGTACTTCATGAAAAAATACTCAAATATAGGGTTTTGAAAAGCTCTTTAGGTAAGCTACAAGAATATGCAATAAAAAATAGGGAGTTTTATTTAAAAAAACAAAGTTGAACTCCATATGACCTCGGCACGTTCACTCAATGTCAAACCAATGACACCATCTTATGTCCCTTTTTGAACCAAACAACTTTTGTCTGAAACGTTTTTCCGTATCTTTCATATTTTTCGAGATATTTACCTGGGGCTATTAAAATGAAACACCCGGTATATACACGCTTTCATTTATAATAAAATGTTAAATTTCGGATTAATGTGATTTTTTTTTAATCGATATGAATTAAATATTTGTATTTTATTTTATCCATTATGCTTTCCACATATTGTGTTTAATTCGACCAAATTCCATTATTAGTTTAGTTTGTATTGTCAATTTAAAAATAATGTTAGCCTTAAATCCTAAAGTTTCTATTAAACAGCGTAATTAAACACGAAGTGATAATTCAATCTTTGAAACAAAACAATTGGAGAGCAATATGTCAATATTATAGACGCCAGCTTATCGCCAATAAATGATTGCGCACATATGGATGAGTATTGAGTGCTTTTTTTGTCTGGAAACGTTACAGTCTTCCTGGCGATGTAGCGTTTGCCGTCGAAAGATCGCCTCGAGGGACCAGCCGATAGTGACACAGGAATCCACAGATTCGATGCTAGACGTGCCGTGCTTGGAGACACTTCACAGGAGGCACAGTGACGCCCGACTAGGTCCTACCGGTAGTCAGATAGGCACGCTTGGAAGTGGATTGGCTCCGCCACGAACTCCGGAAATCCGAAGACATTCCGACGTTTCGCCAGCTAGTCTCAAGGAATTGGAGAAGGTAAGCGAAAACTTGGTCCACGATGATATGTCTTTCGTTGTAATAGCTTCTCTCTAATCGAGAATAATGTAAATAGCATATAATGACCCGCGATCTTCCTAATCGATTTATTTTACAATGCAAACATAGATGCAAACTGCTTCTTCCATAGCATACAGTTTCGATCTACGATATATTATATAACAAATAGAAAGAATAATGCATTGTAGAATAAAATCGTATCGACGGAGAATTATTCTAGTCTTTTACGTTTTACGACCATAATATAACTTTTCTTTTTGAGTCAGGAATTTCTTCTCTTTCTTGATATTTATACATATATTATCAGTCTGCGTGAATCTTTTCTCACTTTACAGATAATTAATATATTTAACAGGATAAAATTAATTTTCTTGCGATAAAGAGACAAGGTTACAATTTTCAAAATTATAAAAAATAAAAGCCACGTTTGCGATAAAGAGGAAAGAATACAATTTTCAAGATTATAAAAAATAAGAGCCACGCTTTACGTGTGCACCGTATCTTTTCAACTGGCTTTCGATGTTACTCACGATTTACTGCCGCACGAGATTCCCTTTTCCCAGCGAGGTGCATAATTCAACATCCTAAGAGATATACTGTTATACGAGAGAATATTCGTGCAGCCATGTTTGAAATTAGGGCTGCTGAATTACCGCTGCCAAACGAATCGACGTACATAATATGCTTTGAGTGTCCGCTTGAACGCTTTAAGCTACACTTTGCTGTTATCTCAGATGCATACACCATACTTATTCGCCGAGATTTTTGCACCCCACCTGCATTATGCAACAAAGCGCAGGTCGCTCGTCGAGAGAGATTTTGAATTATTCCGTTCCGATTGTAGTCGGCGACTATAAGGACAAAATAGTCGCTTTTTCTTCAAGCACAAGTGCGACTTTTTAAATTGTGCCCTTTTCGCACTTGCAAAATGTTGCTGATTACGTAACGCGATTTGACTCTCATTATAATATCAATCCCAGCGATGTTGCTCTACATAAAAATTGCGTAGAAAAATCGCCATCTATACGAATCATATATTGTCATAACTTTTAGCAAAGCCATCATAATATTTATTTTAAAATATTTTAAATCGGTAATGTAAAAGGCAAATATACCGTGTTACTTAAACTTTAACAAATCTTTTAGAATTCTCTTGTGTTTGTTGTCGAAGTGAAAATAATACCACTTGCAACAATATTGCTTAATTAAAGTAAGACAGTAACTGCAGATGCATAATTCAACCGTTTTACTCATTATGTCCTTTATGTTCAATTAACTTACGATAATTTCGAGAGGTCGTAAATTGTTCGGATCATATCGAAGATCGTCCTCGTCACGTGCGGCTTTAACGAGGTACAGCGCTTCCGTGCGGTGTCGGGCTTGACGCGGAGCTCGACTACTCTCCACGAGATCTCATTGCGCATAGGTCGTGTGCACTTGTCACGCAAACGGAGCACCCGTAGACACGCACGCGTGTATATCGGGAACGAGTGCACACCGACGCGTATCTTGCACGTGTGTGCAACCAAACTTCTCATTACTCGACACTCAGACAGACAATTATCGGGCACGTAATTATCGCGCAGCCTTCGGTAGCGATCGCAGACTTCGAGAATTCAAAGATGCGTCGTAAAGACCGAGCGAGCATTTTACGATCTCGAAATATGATCTAGAGAGCCATATTGTCTGCTTCCAAGTCGTAAAATGGAAAGTCTAGTTTATATAACGTATAAGAGAAAACAAGAGACGCCAAGTCTTATACTCGGCTTATTGATATTTGTTACCAATAGTTTAGAAATTTCCCCGGCGCTTCCTTATCGCTATTATATTGCCCCACATTCTACGCTCTGCGACTTACTTCGCGTTTACAAGATATGACATTTACATGAATCAATATACCCTTGAATTTATCGAAGCTTCGGTTATTGATTACCGCGCGACTCTCTAAGGCTGAAACTTACATTGTGCCAGCCGACAACTTCGTAGCACCGGTAGACGTCTCACCTCGAGAATTTATCGACAGTCGTTTTTGTCGCTTGGCAGAATAATCGGATCCGTGCGCGCGCGGACGGAAACGGCTGCGGAAACGAAAGAAAGTGGAGTGAAATTGAAATGAAGAACGTGTTTCTGCACGTCGACAGAAATAAGGGATTGAAAACGGCAGATTCGAAAATCTTTACGGTTGCGTATTGCACCAGGGGACTGCTTACTACCCGAAAATATCAAAAAATCATACCTAATATCGTTACAAAAATTGCCCTTTCTACGTTGCGCGCGTTTATTTCCCGCGTTTATTTTGTCCCCTCGTTTCAGTAAGTCTATTCTGTAGCTCTTATTTAACGACAGTTTCGTTATCGTTATATTTGCGTTGCGCAGATATTATATATAGTAAAAAAGCTGCGCAACGAAAATGTAACGATAACGAAACTGTCGTTAAGAGTTACAGAATAGGCCAACAGCTTTCAATTTTTGCTTAACAAATTCATTCATTGAAATATATTTTGTATTGTAAAAAAACATAGTAGCTTTGTTTTCGCGCGCGCGCTCGCGCGTAATTGATTATTGTGTGGTTTTTTTTTAAATTATTTAAACAGTAAATATTATTCAATGACATTTACAATTGCTCGTTTAATTCTCACTTTTTCCTTCCGCATCCTATTTATTCAGGATATGTCGAATAAATTGATGTTAAATCTTTTTTGATGAAATAACGTCTAATTTCTCTGGACAGTCAACATGTGTCAAGTGCCGTTTGTCCGACGAATTCGACATAAATAAAAGAAGGAAGCGGATTCGGAATCGTAAATCCGCTTTGTCGGAATTGTCATGACGTAATGAAATACGTTCTATCGAGCATTTACGTACGTACGTAGGCGTAGACAAACCCGAGAGGAAATGGTCTCGTATTTACGACGGCAAACGCTAATTCTGGAGTTTATTGCGCGCTCTCCTGCGCGCGTCAGTCTCCTGCCTGCGATACGCCTCGCTTAGTGAAAAACGCCTAGCACGTTTATCTTCCTCGTGGTAATTGTCGTTGACGCTTTTTCCATCTCGAGATTCAATCCATTTCGGTGCCATTCGCGCGTCACGGCTGCCGCTTTCTCGCGAGCTAAAACGGCGCCGCATGATGGATGAGATGGGATGGAATGACTGCCGGCGAAATTGCGGAAATGCGATCGTGATGTTTAAGACATGGGTGCGAAAAATAATTACCGAACTACAAAGACACGAAAATAATCTCACGATTAAAGTATAGTCGATTTAATCGGATCGTCGCTAAATTTTAAATCATGCGTTAATTTCAATTTGTACAACATTTTAATATTCAATGAAAAAGATTTTATATTATTTTACCTCAAGTTTATGTTATTGCTATACAATTTTATTAATTTTTTAAGAATGTATACATTTGAATTAGAATGCGACTTTGCGATTGAATGTTTCTTTAATTATTATGACAGCCTTGATCTGAAAAATTGGAACACGATTTCTCAGCGTCTCACGTGACTATGAATGCAAACTCTCCGGATTAAAATTGCATTTGGCACTTGTGTTTATACTACCTGGATGCCCTACATTACGGTGCTGGTTTTCTAAGCTACCTACATGCACTTAAACGTTCCGGCTACGCCTATTGGATAATTTACAGCCGGCTGAGCATCCTGAGTGATGCGCAACATGCAGAGTATCCTCGCCACATCCCCGTGTCACGCGCGCCTTGCACTTCGAAAATCATCGGCGTATACTGTCGGCGCGTGTTACATCGTGATGCTAATGGCGACCCAGTTTGTACTTTTTTTTTTTTCGAAGTGACAACGCGTAGCTGCGAAAAATATAGCTGTAACGTGGTTTCGTCGAGAGGAAATTATCGCGACGTGCGGGAGAGGAATGACATCTTCGCACCACGCCCTTCGTCGTCGTCATCGCGTTAAAATAACGTTTTCGCGCACCCGCGCGCTGCAGCACTATGAATATTTATGCGCGCGACAGGTGCTCGAAAACGGAATCGAGCCACTGCACTGGCACATCCATCCAGTGAGTAGCAGCGATGAGCGAGAAAGACGTGCCCGGCATCGCGCCTCCGTTCGTTGCCCTGACCCTAATGGAGCCTTAATGCCAAAACCCTCTCGAACTTGGTCGACGGCCAGTATATGCGCGCGCGCGCCTCACCTCGCTTTAATTATTGTCGACGTGCAATTATGCCGCGCGGCGGGATCGCGTGACGAAACCGGGACGAAGTTAATTTTCGGATGTGGCCGTTTTATTATTATCGCAAACTCTCAGCCGTGTTCCCGCGGTCTTCCTTCTTGTTGCCCGCAAGCGTGTCGGGGACGCTATTAATTTTCATTATCAAAGGGCAGTGCACCCAGCTTCAGAGCTTTCGAGCGTCGAGCGAAATGTCTTTGTTGCAATTTGCCGATGGGGACGAATTATTTTAGATTTACGTGAATAGATTCACATTATGTTAAAGCACGGCGCAATCATTCGTTCCATTTATAAATAAGTTTCACTACCTTCTCAAACAGCTTTTGATTCTAAAGATAATCAGAAAGACTTGCAGACAATTTAGTGCGTAATTTAATCAAATTATATATATATATAATTTGCAAATATATTATTTGAAAATTTTGAAAAATTATTAAACGATAAATTATCAAATTATACAATGTTATATTTATTTATTCCGAATATATTTAAAACAAAGTAGAAATAAATAAATAGAAATAAATTTTGTAAATCTTATATATATATAGATAGTATTTGACCACTCATATGGCATATTGATCTGCCGTAAAAGATTAAATAAATAGCTTTTCTTCAAATCTGAATAACACCTGCACAGCTTCGATCATTAGAGCAATCACAATCTCAGAGTTACAGCTGATCTCTGTGCGTTGATCTAATCGTCAGCTTTTAGGTGTCAATCTGTGCTGCCTACTAATCTTGTACTTGCACTCCCCGCCCGCCCTTGTCGTGTTGTTGGGGATGTTTGGACTTCCTCCCCGCGCCCTTACTCACGGCCTACATGTGGTGACGTTTCCCGCATCGAGCCCTAATCTCTGTATCGTAATGTTGTAGTTTCGAAAGGTTGCAGGGGAACGCCAGAGAGAGGATCTCAGATGGGAGCGCGACCTGGACCGGAAGAGCAAGTCGAGGGGCGGCTCGCCTGATCGCCATCAAGCCTCCGACAGAGGAAGAGCGACCAGCCCTCAGAGAGTCGTCATGCCGGCCCAGACTGGCGGTAAGGATCATTTTACTCGTCGATACGAGATATCTGTTGCTCCTTCATACCACAGACGTCGCATTTCGCGTAATGATCGCATGTTACGATACAATCAAAGAAATAAGAAATTGTATGGCTTGTTCTTCTAAAATGGACAAAAATTTAATACGACACTGTTATTATTAACATATTGTAAAATTACGCTTACTCTTGTTTAATTTGATAAATTGTTTTTTTTATGGATATGTTTTCAAACATTTAATTGTTTGTCCGAAAAAGCAATTTCCCGAATAATAATGTTAAAGACCTCTAACGTAATTACGTATAATACAAAAATTGTTTTACAGCATTGCATAACAAGAACAGAGATTTCCAATTATTTCTACTACAATCAATCGAAAAGTATTATTCAGGATAAGTTTCAAATTTTATTCTACGTTAAACTCGTTAAATCGCCTAAGTCGTCTTTCAATTTGCTTAGCGCGTCAAATCCCTAACATCATCTTTCAATTTCCTTGATAAAGCAGTCGAGCAGGAAAGCGGAGATCTGGACGACGAGGAGGAACGTCGACGTCGCGCTCGTCGCGGAGGCGGTACGGTCCGCCGTAAATCTCGTGTGACCAGGCAGAGGTCTTATGACGACGAGATCAAAACGGCGGCCGCGATGGCTGCCGGTGGGACGCAGCCCACGCATCCTGATACCGGCCTAGGACTTCCGGCTCAATTACCAAGACGAGCGTCCGCCTACGACGTTTACGCCGTGCCCGGAAGTAGCGGCCTTAATGCAATGACCATCGCCACCGCCCAACAAAGAGCCTCCATTTCGGCGCAAGGTGAATTGAAATGATTTATTGCGATAAACGAGAAATTTATTCTTTGATTTTCGAAAACTCGCGCAACCTAAATTTGATTCTACAAATACACCATATAGCCTTCCTTTTTACAATAATATTTGGATATAAAAATTCTCCTCGGCACGATATTTGAAAATGAAAAACATTACCCTCCAATAATTCTCGAAAAAATAGTTTTCTTTCAGTACTGCACGTATATAATATCATGCACATTAAACATGTAAATTTAAACACAAAACACAATAATAACATTTTGATTTAAATATTTTCTAACAGAAAAATATATATCGTTTTCAGTATTTATTTGATATAAAATACAATGCGTATTAAAATTAACATTTTTTTATCGCATATTTTTGCTTCATATCTGAAATATCGGAACAATCTCGCGTAAATCATCCTTCCAAAATTTCTCTAAAATAACAGAAGGTATTTGTATCGATAACCATGTATCACGTATATGTAATACATAATTCCTTGTAATTTCTCCTCTCGTTTAAGCGCTATCTTTGACCTCCCGGGTTATTCCCGGGGGAAACTTTAGTAACCGGCTGTTCGATCTTGGGCGAAGCCACCGAAATTTCCAACTTCTCCCTCACTTCCCTCCCGATATAGCGAGTTGGCAACATGTGCTCCGATTTCTCCGCCACATATTGCGCGTTTACGAGTTATCGCAACGGTATCCGCGGCAAGTTAGAACAAGGCTGTGCTTTAAAGGACCCTAAGGGCGGCAAAAGCTGCCGGCTAGGATAATCGTATAGACCTTGTCGAGCAGCAGTAACTCTACCCTGTGTATTGTTTGTCCTGTTTCATATAGCTTCCTCTGTTTCGTCGTGGAAACAATTCGCTTCATTACGCGAATACGGGCGTCCTACTCTCGGTGTTCCGCTATCAAAGGCAAGTAACTTCGGGGAAATGAGTAAAGCCGATTTTCGTTAAACATGTTTTAACCGCAATGATGTGGCCTCATCCATTCATTCGACGTTCTCTGCCCATGAGGAAAGTTAATACGGTGTACACGAATGGGTAACTCTCGAATTACAACATTTTCAAACCGCGACTTCTATTTTAATTAACTTATTCGCGATCACGGGGACTCGTTTAATTTAAATATCTCAAAACGGTGTACTTATCGTGTTACGCAGTTTTGAGGCAAAACTTCTTTATGAAAATTTCGCGTATTACGTCAACAAATTGTTGGTAATCAGTTGTCGAGTATACCATTAAAATGTTCCGCAGGGAACAGCTTTAAATAGCGACCGCGCGTAACTAGTTTCAGAATTTCCCATTTTCATGCATTCAATTCAGTCGCGTACGTCGGTTGGACGTGTGTCGCGTATCCTGAGATACATTTCTATGACTGTGTAACTTTAACACTGCGCGCGCGCGCTTATTACCAGTCTGCGTGATCGGAAACACTAAACAAGCATCTCGACTCGACATAGAAATTCCGCTTTTCTCTTTCCTTTCCCTACCTTCCTCGCTTCTATCGAAAAGCCCCGCACGCGGCGAACTTACGGCGAACTTTCTGTGGAAACTATTTCCGATGCGTCACAGGAGAAGCGTATACGGACGTAACACGGTTTCAAAGCCATCAGTACTCATGCATGTACACATCGATCGGCTATTCGGATGCTTCTAAAATTTTCATTTTGCCGAGCGTAATGTGTTGTACCCTCAATTCGATACCCGCGAGTTTCGCCAATCAAATGCTGATATTGCAAAAAGTTATACTAACAATAAGTATATAGTAAAATAAACCTTGACCAACCAACTTGAGTTTCGCATAAATCGGAACCAAGCGAGAAATTCCCCTTTCAAGGTAACTCGGCAGTCACTTCGGTTTAAGAAAATGTATTGTCGTATTATTGTCACATTACAATTTGAAAACATAAAATAAACGACTATATACAGATAAAACGAGTTTGTTTTATTGACTAGTGTTTTCGAACAAAAATTCTATCTTCGTAAAATTTTAATTAACGATTCTTTTATTTTTTTCACTTTTCAATTTTTAATATTAGGAAGCTTAATAATATAAATTAAAGCTCGTTAAAAAAAACAAAGATTAAAACAACAAGAATTAAGTTTGATTATCTACTTTTAATCGCGAGATTAAATCGTCAAAGTTTTTTTTTTAATCTCTCCTCACTTCTCTTTCTCTCTATAATCAGTTGTAATGTTATTTTAATGTTGATATTTTGTTCCATCTCCTTTTCTCTTCGCAGTCAAATACACCCCTATTCGAACAACCCGTATGTAAAGTAACCTATACTTGTTTCTCTATGCTGCAGCCAAGAGCTGAAAACTCCACTTACTATGTTACAGAGAGAAACAACATTGACATTCGACCCGCATCGTACTTTGAAAATAACCATTTTGACTATTTTATTTCTTCGGAATATGTTTAACTCTTTCAAAATCTTTGTGTAATAACGGAATATTTTGATCTTCTAATATCGGTTTTCTCGCGTGTTTCGTTATTTCTAACATAAAAAAAATAAAAAATAAAATAAATATGTAGAATTAATATCTCTTTGAATAAAATTGATTTATATAATTTAACGTTTGTTCATATAATTGCAATGGTTTTCCTCTATCGCGTTTTAATGATTAATAAAAACATTTCTATAAAAAATATTTCATTTGTAGATATAAATATGATATCAAAACATTTTATCCATAAAACTGATCTGTTTCAATTTTCCGATACACGTATATGTCTATGTACTAATACTAAAGCTTTAAAATATATTTTATAGTCTAACTCTTATCTCTTCGGAGCATTTTATTAAATTCATGCTACTCTTTTATCTCTGTTATCATTATACCAAAGGGGACTTCGTTATTCAAGGCGATTTACTCGCTATAACGGGTCGCATTTAATATTTCAAGTATAATACGGTTGGCCTGAAAACGTCGTTTGTCCTCTGCTTCTTCACAGGCACCCGAGAACCTGAAGAACGGCCTGTAACTCGCAGGTCCTCCTTCCGCGCCGTGAAACCAGTGATGCCATACGACGTCGCGGCCGACGATGAGAAGATGATTAAGCTAGACTCGTCATCTGCACCTGCAGTGGCACCGCCTGTGTCTCAACCTGCTCTTATACCCGATGAAGAAAGACGCAATCGACGAAGAGGCTCCCAATTGTAAGTCATTGTTGGCGTTGTTATACTTGTTATATCATAAGGATTTACTGTGACAAAAGCATGACCATGGATCTCCTATTTCCTATTCCATGATATAATGTGAACAAAATCAAGTCTATTTCTTTTATTAAGAAGTTAAGCTATTCAGCTTCAAGTGGCATGTTGGAAATCTGATTTCAATGCAATTTAACTTGACCTCTGTTACGTATAATGTTTCTCGTAAGAATAGTTCCTATTTTGTTGTTATACATCAAATTTTTATAATTATGGAACAGTTATACAATGTGTTTGAATTCTTCGTACAATATAATATTTATTGTATTATATATTCTTATGATGTTTGATTAAACATCACGATGAATAATGTAATTAATTTTAAATAACCAAACCCAGTATAAAAAGAACACGACATATAAATTTTTTCATTATTTTAATTAGGATTAATGATGAATCGTTCGAATAATCGACAGTAACTCGTTCATATTTATTAATACGGCTTTCTCTAGCAGTGGAAATGGCGTATGCAAATCTGCCAATTTCAATTTCGTACTTCAATTTCGCACTGCCATATATTTGTCTGTTTTCTGACACCGGAATTTTGACGTCGAACGCATTTCGCCTCTGCTTCCCGAAAGTAATTTAAACTTGTCTACATAAAAAAAAACCTATCTTCCACTTTTTGTTTGCAAATTAAGTATTTTTTATCCAATATTAAGCTATTTAAACTTAATTATTGCGCATGTCGATCGAATCTTTTAATCTAAAAGAAATAAAAGAGATTAATGAACGCAATAATAACTTCTTCAAATCGCACAGAAGAGATTTTGCTGTAAATCAGTTCTTAAATTAATTCCTAAAAGTACTTCTTTCTGATAAGAAACGTTTTCAATATATATATACTTCGATTCCCCCAGAGTATCCCTTTTACTCTTCGAAGTCGCTGTTTCTCACCTCTGTGAATCTAGCACTATTAAAAAAAGTTCTACAGCACAATTAAGTGTTAATTTATTGCTCTGGTCCCGAATTTATTGCTCTCATCCATTCGCAGAAAATGAATATTAAAAGTGAGAATGCTGCCTTCATTACGCTAGCACCTTTGCTCCTGAAAACAAAGTATAGTAAATAAAAAAACGATATACCACAATTTTTTGCTCTAAAATACTGCAAAGAGATATTGAAAATATTTAATAATTATGAATGTACCGATTACCGGTTATCGAAGTATAAGAGTAAAACGATCAAAAATATAATAAAAGTTAACTATATAAGTTTAACATTAAACTGCTTCTTCAATCAAATCACTCGTAAAATACATTTTGGAATTTATTTCCTACACTACTTTAAAAAAAAATTATCAAAAACAAACAAAAATACAAGAATAAAGTATATTAAACAAACGCTGTGTCAATTTTGGTATTAAAATAATTCTAGGATTTATTGCTCTTAAAATATCCTGATTCTGAACTTATAATATATTATATTATATTTTAGGAGCAATAAAATTCTAGCAATACATTTTAAGAGCAATAAATTTTAAGAGCAATAAATATCATCGGTAAATTTATAAACATTTAATATTCGATATCTCTTGCAATATTTTAGAGTAAAAAATCAATAAAAAATTCTGGTATCTCAGTTTTTGTTTACAGTATTTTATACGCGTTTTTCAGGAATGAAGGTGCTAGCGTAACGTGAAAACAGCATCCCCACTTTTGATATCAATTTTCTGCGAATGGATAGGACTAATAAATTCGAGACTAGAGCAATAAAATTAGTATTTAATTGTGCCGTATATTCGATTTTTTTTTTTTAATAGTGAAGGTGTTAGATTCACACAGGTCTGTTTCCCTCCAGTTAAGTGTACGTTTGAATTTATAATCGAAATTTGTGTTATTAGATGTGATCAGTTCTATAATTATAGCAGAGGTTACTTGTATGAAAAATATAGAAGTTAAAGATTGAAAAATAAACCGACGTATCTCAAAGTAAATCGTTAAAATATTTCTAAAACGACGTATCTATATTGCGCAAAGCTTTCACAACCCGCAAATGTTGGTCATATCGATTTTATTACAAAAGAAGTAATTTGAAATATTCAATATACGAAGTATCTTGAAACAATCTCCACACACATATATACACGTATATCTAGAATGTCTTTACTAAAGGATTTCCACATTTTCTTGACGCGAAATTGAAGTCTTGATATGTATTGATCAGTCGTAAAATACGTTCAGATTTCAAAACAAGGTAATATAACAACGTAATATAAAACGAAGTAGGTACGACTGTCATTCAATCTACTATAGGAGAAAACGATGTAATTACCGCCTAGTGTTTACATCTCATTAAAACTCGTTTGCACAGAACAAGTCTGGATTAAATAAACCGACTTCAGCGACTCACTATATTCGTTTCTTGCAATCTTACCAGTGATACGGACTACGGACGAAGGAAAATTCACTTCAACCCACTTGTCTTAAGTTACCTTTTTTAGCGAACGAGTATCGATTCGCAACCGACGAAAGATTCCGATATAGAACCGAACGAGCATTTCTCTTGTACCTTGTACCCGTCGACGCGGCAAAAATGAGGATCGATCTTGTCGTCTCTGATTTTTCTCTTTTTCCGCCCACATCACGATTACTCCTTTTTTCCCCCTAAATGAAACGGCAAGCAACGTGTGTTGTATATGCATACGTGCATCGCGAGCAAGAGGTCGAGTGGATCACAAACAGGGGAGTTTGCTACTAGAGAAATAATTAATACCACCCTACCCCTCCTCCTATACTCTTCGTTAAGCGTGCGCATTTACTCGCGTGCGAGCATCTGTGGTTCTTGCCAAAGTCGAGTTCGGAACTGTTACAATTTCGGAGAGCTTAATTTTCCATGTTATAGAAGGTTACTCGAAAATGCAAGCTTGCGATATTAACCGTTCAAGAGACTTTCGTTTATGATGCGATATCCAAAATGGATAATATGACGAAAATACACCAAAATACATTTGAATAATAATATCGTTTGCGATAAATTAGAAATTTTTATAAATACATGTACACGCGTCCGTCAAAAACGTGTTCTCTACTTCTATTATATATTTCCATTTCTATTATTCTATTACATTTTATTTTAAAATTTATATCTCGAAGACAAATTTTGCTTTAAATAAATATTTTAATATCAATCGTTTGTTGTTTTCATTACTTAGTATCTAAAATTTAAAATCAAATATACATTTGTATAAATCTATTTAAAAGAAGATTATCTTTTTTTATATTCGCGATTCAAAACCTGGACCCTTCAGTCAAGTGCTGATACAAGACCAATAACCGCGGTCAGAGATTTCCTTGAGATTTTCTATGTGTGAAAGGGTCGAAGACCCGACCATCGGGGGCGAGAAAAGTGTCATCCCTTGGACAGGTTGTTACGATCATACGAAGGAGTTGGGGATGTTTGGCGGAAGGGTCGCGCGTGATGTATCGTTCTTGTCAAAATTGGCTTAACCTCCGTGATCCTTCGCCGTCATCGTCTTTTTTCCAGTCGAGAGAAAAAGTTTACGTGAAGGATGACGAGCTGAAGTCATCAGTCAGCGTTATGAATCACCTAGATCGCGTAATCGTTATTATCTCGTACAGTCAGGTGCCATTGAAAGTCGAAGCCGTTGTACACGTCAATTCTTCATACAATTCTTCATACTCAAGTCAGTTCTGATGCATGTTTTAAAGATATTGGTTACTATATTGGTTATACTAGAAATCACAATATTTTTCTTTAATTTTTCATAAATATATAATACATAGAAATTTAGATTAATGACAGACATTCATATTATAGACTTTAATATTTCAAAAATTTCTAATTAAACGAATTATAATTAAGCGATTTTAATTATTGTTGATTTTAATTTATTCGCGAAACGAATGCTGTACAAAGACTGTTTTATATATTTTCACACAATTTCTCTAACTTACGCCTTCTTTTTTGCCAAGGTACGTCATGAGGAATTAATTTGCTTGTTTATCGAATGTGATAAGTTTAAACCTAGAAGAAATGCACTGTCTCTCGTAATTTAATTTGATAAGTGAAGCATATGTATGGTGCTTTCCAAAATACACGATCCGTTTTTACGCTTTCGGGAAAAAGTCATCGATTATTCACGATCAATGTGTACTATCTTAAAGTGGCACCATTCGACCTCGATTTCGAGGTGTCTTGGCAGGCTGCTAAATCGAGAGAAGCTGCTATTAGAATTAAAACAAGTGCACGACACTTTTCCTTCTGATTTATGTCGGCTTATATTGGCGAGATGTCACCCCAGAGAGCAACGTTAGAATAGAAGCACTTGCGCTTTAATGCGACCTTGCCTGCACTCCGTTGAAATTTGGTCGTGCTTCGAATGCTTGCACCGGGTGACCGTGCGCCGCACCAACCACGACCTTAGGTATCGTCATCTCGGTAAACCGCCGGAAATCAGAGTAAATCGCGCCGGTAATTCTACTGAATATCGCATGCCTTAAGCATACTTTTCGGCTGCCGGTGAATTCTCAACTCACCTCACACGTCTAGTAAAGTTACTCCGTCTTTCTCTTCCGGTATAACTTCAAAAACTTGATTCCACAGCAAAAACTCTCTTTTGTGCGAACACTTACGTCTTTAGCAATAAATAATCACCGACGTTGTACTATTTTCTCATTTCATGATATATGATTTGGTAAAAATAGTAAATTAACAGTAAATTTTCATGTATATAGTTTATTTATCATAGCACTTACTTTTTAAAAGAGTAAAAAAATTTTCTTGTTATGTGAAAATATAGAGGAAAATATAGAATATCCATATATATAGACCAAAATAACAAATTTAAAAAATGCAGATTTTCCATAAAATATTTAAAACTTGTAAAAGAAACTAGTTTCAAGTTTTCTTTTTTTTTCTTATTTTAATGACTGTGTGAACAATTTGCACAAAATTATAACAAGAAAAGAAAAAAATGTAATTAA